CGGACCCCCGGGGCCCCCCAGCCGGCGCACCCCGGGAGCTGAAGGCTCGCCCGGCCTGGAGGAGCGCGGGCGAGCGCCGGGCTCGCCCCTCCCATCCTCCTCTTCTCCCGCTTCTCCCGCCCGGAGCCGGAGGCCGCTGTCCCGCGGGAGCACGAGCGTCCACCCCCTCGCCCTCCACCCCGCCCCCAGCCCGGGGCCGCGCGGCCACTCGGCGCTACCGCCCCGTCCCCTCCCCTCCCCCCTCTCCCCCCCTCCCCTCCCCTCCCCTCCCCGCGGCCGGACGTGGCACCTCCCCCGCGGCGGCTGGAGCCGGGAGGTGGGGTCGGGAGCCCGGGCCCCGGGCGCTGATGTCACCGCGCGGCCGCCGGCGCCCGGGAGCGCGTCTCGGGCTGGAGTTCAGGTGCGCTGCGGGGCCGGGCGGCGGGATCGCCCTGGGGGGGGGGCGAGCCCCGCGGCCGGGGCGGTGGGGTGGGGTGGGGGTGGGGCGCCGCGGAGCAGCCCGCGCGCCTGGTGGGCCGTGCGCGGGCCGGTGCGGGGCTCCCCCGCGGGGCGGCGGGCTGCCGGGGGAGCGCGGCGGCGCACAGTGCGGGCTCTGTCCGCTTCCCCGCCGCGCGGCCGCCGAGCAGCGGGGGGAGGCGGGGCCCTCGCGCCTGAGCCCGCGCCGCGCCCGCCCGCGTCCCGTCCAGGCCTCCCCGACCGTGACCCGGGCGGGAAGGGCCCCGCGAGGCGCCCGCCGGCGGCCAGCGGCTCCCCCGGCGTCCGCGGGTCCCGCCGTCGCGCCGCACCGCGTGACTCTGCCGCCCCCTGCGGTCGCCCGCCTCGGCTCGAGTCCGCCCGGGGCCGCCGCCTCCCGCCCGCGGGCGCAGGCAGCGCGGAGCTCGAGGCCCTGGGGACCACCTCGGGGCGACAGCGACGCGGAGCGGAGGCCACGCGGGCTGCCGCGGGCTGCCGGGTCCGCGCGGACCGCGCTGGGAGAAAGGGCCGGAGGGGGACGGGGCAGCCGCGCAGCTTCCCCGCTGCCTGCCTGGCCAGACCAGCCTGCGGTGCCGGCGCCCAAGCGCGGCCCGGCCCGCTCAAAGCCCCGCCCGGCGGGGACGCTTGCCCCCCCGGGAGCCCCCCAGAGAGCGTGCCACCCGGGGAGACCGCGGAGCCGGGCGGCCTGACGACCTCTCCACGGGGAGGAGTGACGGGAGGTGGCCTTTCAGAGGGTATGCTTTCACTCCCCATCGTTGCGCATCATTGGAGGTTGCCCGCCTTTCTGGCAATCTTACCTGCATCTGCCCCCGTTGCATGGGTGTGACTTTACCAGCCCGAAGCTGCCCTCATCTATTAACCTCTCACTAAAAACCTGAGTGGGCCTGCTTGCCTAGTCTAAACTGCTGAGGTCTAGACCCACATTGCAACTTCCCAGCTTCCCAGACTTGCCACAAACACTGCAAAGCCTATAGGCCCCAGACTGAATGAGCCCTGGACCCTGGACCAGACCCCATCTCGGCTTCCTCCTTCCTGAGGACCCGAATCCCTACCTCCCAGGCCTCCAGTCTGAACACCGAAGTCATCTTTGTCTCCTTTTCCTCTCTTGCTCTTTCATTCAGGTGACAAGTATATGTGACCTCCCCCCACCACTCTACTGCCCAATCCCAATCTGGCACTCTTCCGGCAGGGATTCCATGCTGCTTCCCTGGCTTTGGTGGGGCTTGGCCAAAGGCCTAAAGAGCTTCTTGACCTCTAGCCTCTGGACTTCAGTGCTCTGTAGGCACTGGCTCTGCAGCCCAGCCTATAGCTGAGGCTAATGTTAGGGTTCTGGGGTGTTGCCACCCACAGCCACAGTGGCTAGCTGTACTGCAAGAGGCTCCCTGCAGCCAGATACATTTGCAGACTCCTTGCTCTTTGTGCTGAGGCCCCAAAACACATTAACGGAGTTGCACCCTCCTAGTGTAACAGGTTCTGCAGAAGGCACAATGTGAGTATCCTGCAGGGTTACTGGCCTACTGAGGCCACCACTGCAGAAGTATCCTCAAGACAAGTGAGGGGCAAAAAGCAAACATATGTACACACAGTTTTATTATCCATTAAGCTGTTTCTTTTGGTAAACTCAATCCTTTGTGAACACAGTAACTCACAAGATTCAAAAAAAAAAATTTTTTTTTAAAAGATTTTATTTATTGGAACCCTGGGTGGCTCAGCGGTTAAGCCTTTGGCTTTGGCTCGGGGCATGATCCCAGAGTCCCAGGATCGAGTCCCACATCAGGCTCCCTGCAGGGAGCCTGCTTCTCCCTCTGCCTGTGTCTCTGCCTCTCTTTCTCTGTGTCCCTCATGAATAAGTAAATACTTAGAGGCAGAGACACAGGCAGAGGGAGAAGCAGGCTCCCTGCAGGGAACCCGGAATCACATTCTGAGTCAAAGGCTCAAACACTGAGCCATCTAGGTGTCCCCAAGATAGAAATTTTCAGGCCTTTTTGGAGGAAACTTCTTCGTATGTGAACAATCACTGGTGCCTGTAGAGGCAAGAAGCCAACAATGGGCAGGCAAGGGTGGCATGAACAGGGAAAACAATGCTCCAAGATGGGCTCAGACTAGGAAGAGAGAGGGCTAGTGCCTGGGTGTCTAGGGTGGGTTTCCTAAAGGAGAGAGGTCCCCAAACCTGACTGTGAGGACCAACCTGCAGGGCTGGTGTCGATGGGCATAAAGATACCTCCAAGTCGGCACCACCGTTCTGGTCCTAGATCAGCTGAGAGCCCCTCCTTGAGAATATTGCAGGCACTGCCTCTCCCTTGTGGGAAACACCATATCCTCACACCACTAATCTCCCCTACCTTCCTTGACCTGTAATCTGTAGCGTCTGCAGCCTTTGGGAAGGGGGTAGAGGGTGACCCTGAGTTCCAAATAGTATTTAGGAGGCTCAAATGAGCCTGCTTTTCAGTTCCCACCCCAGCTGCCAGTTGCCCTCCTCTGCACTCCTCAACAAGCCAGCTCAGGGACAGTGAGCCCTCCCCACTTCCCAAAGTTCCCATAGTCCATATTGGAGCTCCAGCTTCCTAAGACTCAAAGCTACTTTCACCCTTGACCCATGCATACCCATATGCATGGACATAGCACTGAAGTCCAGAGGCTAGAGGTCATCTCCTCCCCTTACTCCCTTTGCTCCCTCCCTGGCCCTGGGGAGGTACTGATTTCTGGCCTGTCCTGCTCCACCTGTGCTTGCCTGCTCTTTTGGTTCCTAACAATGCATGAGTAACAATGCATGAGATACTCTACAGTGTCAGCAGCCGCATTCATTCTGTCTTCTTCAGAGAAGATGAATAGGGGGATGCCTGGGTGGCTCAGCGTTTGAGTACCTGCCTTCAACCCAGGGCATGATCCTGGAGTCCCAGGATCAAGTCCCACATCAGGGTCCCTGTGTGGAGCCTGCTTCTCTCTCTGCCTACGTCTCTGCCTCTCTCTCTCTCTCTCTGTGTGTGTGTGTGTGTGTCTCTCATGAATAAATAAAATCTTAAAAAAAAAAGAAAAAGAAAAAAGATGAATAGGGAGAGAAGAGTGGGGAAGCAAAGGAGCCCTCTTCCTTCTCCACCAAAGCCACCTCATCCACTCATTGCAAGTTTACTCCTTTCCTTGCTATTCAACAAATATTTCTCTCTCTCTCTCTCTCTCTCTCTCTCTCTCTTTTTAATATTTTATTTATTTATTTGACAGAGAAAGCACAAGCAGGGGAAGTGGGGAGAAACAGGCTCCTCACTGAGCAGGGAGCCCAACGAAGTGCTGGATCCCAGGATCCTGTGATCATGACCTGAACTGAAGGCAGCTGCTTAACCAACTGAGCCGTCCAGGCACCCCTCAACAAATATTTCTGTAACATCGACTACGTGCCAGGCACTGAGGGTACAGAGATTAGTAAGTACAGGGCCTGTTCTCAGGAAGTTCAGGGGTGGGAATGGGAAGAGGGAATCGCAAGCCTGCCAACAATTACACTCCAAGGTGATGAGTACTGTGTTGGGGGGTGGGGATGGAAGGGAAGCTCTGAACACTGTAGGGGATCCCAAACGGTCAGGAGCCCCCTAAGCTGGGCCCAGTAGGAGGAGTGTGAACAGCAGGACAAAGTCAGGGGGGTGAGGCTGCAAAGCAGAGACCATATTATTTTGGAATCTGCTAGTATTTTGAGAGCGGGTGGGGATAAATTTCCCACAGTGGAGTTTAGGTTTTGTTGAAGGCTTCTGGCAGTTGAGGGACGGAGGTAAACTAGCTTTCAGCAGTGTTTGCTTCTAGGAAATTGATTCTGGCTGCAGTAAGCTTGGAGGCAGGCCCAAATTCCAGATAGGGTTCTGCTTCTTACAGGCTGTGTGCCCTTGGGCAAATCATTTCCCCCTTAAAACTCCAGTGTCCTCATCTGTAAAATGCAGATAGTAGTTGTGAGGATCTAGATAAATATTTATATAATGTACCTGGAACATAACTGACACAGAGGTGGGGGAAGGCTGTGAAGCTGCCTCTGTCACCTGACCTGGGTCTTGCTCCTTCCTTTCTTGACTCCCCTGTGATCTCAGAATGTTCTTGACCATTGTTTATTGGGGGAAGATCACAGGGAGAAGCTAACAAAGCTGCCAGGAAGCTGCCTGGGTGGGACTGGGTTGGGGAGGGAAGGAATATGGGTACGTTCTCAGCGCTCCGGGAGGTGCCAGGGTAGAGGCGAGGGCTGGCCTCCTGGAGAGCCTCTGGAGGTAATGGGCTAGCCACCACCTAGTGCACCCCGTCCCCCCCTCCCCTGCAAGCAAAGGGGAAGAGCTTAGACCCTCAAACTCCAGAGGCTAGGGGCTAGCCCTACCTATGTCGTCCCTGACCCAGGAGACCGGCAGCGCTAAAGATCGTGTGACCAGGGAGGGGATGTGTAAGCCCCTGGCTGTCCCTGTTGGAGGGGCCAGCCTTACCCGGGGCTCCTCCCGCACCTCGCCATCTGTGTGCCTCCAGGCCCCACGGAGCCCGCCTCAGCACTCACCTGCGCAGCCATGGAGGCCCCAGGGCCTGGGGGCGACCGCGCCTCCCCAGCCTCGTCCACCCGCAGCCTGGACCTGCGGCGGCTGTCCGCGCGCGCCGACTCGGCCTACAGCTCCTTCTCCGCGGCCTCCGTTGCCCCCGAGCCGCGCACGCCGTCGCCTGGGACCGACCTCCTCCCTTACCTAGACTGGGACTACGTGCGCGTGGTGTGGGGTGGCCCGGGCCCCGCCGGCAGCCTTCGCACCTCGGCGCAGCCCCGGCCCGCGGCCGCCGCGCGCAGTGGGCCGCGGCCGCCCGAGGTCCAGGGCACGCCGGGGCCGCTCAGCCGGCAGGCCACCCCGCTGCTCTTTGCGCTGGCGGCCGAGGCGGAGGCGGCGGCGGCGGCGGCGGCGGCGCGGCTCGTGGAGCCGCCCAGCCCACCGGCCTCGCGGGCCGCCTACCGCCAGCGGCTGCAGGGCGCCCAGCGGCGAGTGCTCCGGGAGACGTCCTTCCAGCGCAAGGAGCTCCGCATGAGCCTGCCCGCCCGCCTGCGGCCCGCGGCCCCCGCGCGGCCCCCCGCGGCGCACCCGCGCTCCGCCTCGCTCAGCCACCCGGCGGGCGGGGGCGGGGAGGTGGAGCCCGCGCGCCCCGGGGCCACCGCCGCCAGGGCAAACGTGGGCCGGGGGCGCCTCGCCACCCAGCAGCGGAAGTGGTGCTTCTCGGAGCCGGGGAAGCTAGATCGCGTGGGGCGGGGCGGTGGGGCGGCAGGGGAACGCTCCAGTGAGGCCGCCTGCAGTTCGGGCATCGCCAGGCCCGGGACCCAGGAGCGGAGGGTGCTGGCGGAATTCCAAGGCCACCAGACCAGATGGCTGCCTGAGTCGCCGCCCCGAGGCACAGAGGACCCAGAACCGGGGTCCGCGAAGCTTGGTGACGCCTATAGGCCCTCCGGTCGGAGTCAGAGCGCGTCAGGGGAAGTCTTGGCTCCCTGGGGAGGTCCAGGAGGGGTCATGCCCATTGTCCAGGTGTGGAAGTTAGGGGCTGCGGGCTTGGGGGGGGAGACATCTGGGAGAATGAAAACTTGAGCTACATTTCAAGCAATGATTTGCCTTTCCAGGCTGTTCCCCAAGGAGCAGAAACCCCCACCCAACTTGCCAGGTGAGAGACATGGACCACCAGGGAGTGGTCGACAAAGGCAGTTTTCATAGTTCTTGCCCAAGACAGAGAGGGCCTCTCACCTGTTCTCAGTTTGAGCCTTCTAATTCTGTCTTTTGCCAACTATATCCCCTCTTGCCCTCCACCCCCACCCCAGTGCCACACCACTGTGTCTCTGGTGCAGCACCAAGAGCTCCCTTCCTGGTCACTGAGGTGTCCCTTCCTACAGGTTCCTGACTCAGAAGGAAGCTGCAGTGGTGTTTTCTGCAGTGTATCCCCAAAGTAGTCCTGCTGACTGTGAACAGAGGGCCTCAGAGACATGCATTGGGTGTACCCGGCTCCCATCCCTTCCAGATGATGAGGTTTTCCTGGAAGAAGTCCCCCTGGCCAAAATGAGATCCCCTCTAGACACCCATACCTGCCCAGAAAGCCCAACCAGGTGAGTTGCCTCTTGCTTCCAAGCTGAGTGAGACATTTCCTCTCTACACATATCAACCCAATGCTAGAGGGGCAGGGAACCCTCTCCTAGCTGGACCCTGGGAGCCTGGCTGGTGGGGATGGGGACAGGTGGCCCTTGGAGGCTACTGCTTGGTTTTGGACAGAGCTTTTTCTGACTCAGTGTCTCTTCCACTTCCAGTATCCATGTCTCTGACCAGCGGTATGGAACTGGCTCAGGCCAGAGGGCTGACCAGGCTACAGTCCCCCCAGAGCATCCCCTCCATGAACACCCAGAGACTGCAAGGGCAGATGACTGCCACCAGAGGATACATGGTTCTGTGGGTGTCTCTGGGACCATATACTCTAGGCCCTCTGGGACTGCAAATGGTGACATAGCAACCTTTCACACCAATGGACTGCTGACCATTGACTCACTTGCAGCTACAGAGAGTGACCCGCTCAAACCTCTCCCAGTTGATGTCCTGGGACCTCCAAGCAACAATACCCCAGGTGCTCCTGGCTGTACTGCCGAGGCTTTGGCCACTGGCCAGCCTGGTTCTAGGCCAACATGGCCCAGTCCTCGCCTTGAGGAGCTGGTTCAGGAGCTGGCCAGACTGGATCCCTCTATGAGTGACACTCTCACTTCCTGTCCCAGCCCAGAGCCACCCCTGGACCTGCTAGATGGGCTGATTCCTTTAGCCGAGGTCTGGGCTGCAATGAGGCCAGCCTGTAAGGAGGCTGGGAAAGAGGCTGCTGGTAGTCCTGAGCCAAGGTGAGTTGGGGGCACCAGGGACTCAGGGGATTCGAAGTCCCTGCAATTTGGGGCAAGACAGCCCAGGAAGCTGTGGCTTTGTCCTCAAGTTCTGTCTCTTTAGCTCCAGCCAGCTCCTGCCAACTTCTCAGGGGGAGACAAGGTTTGAAAACCAGACCACCCGCTCTGTGCCTGACCAGGCCTGTGGTGAGCATCTCCCTGATCCAAATAGCAGCATCCAAGCCAAGAAGGTGAGTGTGGAGGGACTAGTGGAGATGGGGTGGGCAAGAGTAGGGGCTGAGAAAGGTGGTCTGGCCTCACCCTTAAGTACCCACACCTTCCCTGCAGATGGAGCTAGCCGACCTCCTCCAAACGATGCTGCGGAACCTTCGGGCCGAGCAGGAGCAGCTGCACCAGGCGGCCCAGGCTTGGGCCAGGCGCGGGGCTGCTCTGGAGGCCGCGGTGGGGCAGGCCTGCGCTCCCCGTGACCTAGAGCGGTTCAGCAGGTTCATGGCCGACATAGAGCGTGTGCTTGGCCTGCTGCTGCTGCTGGGCAGTCGCCTGGCCCGCGTGCGGCGCGCCCTGGCCCGGGCGGGTGCAGACAGCGACCCAGACGAGCAGGTGACAGGGGCTGGAGTGGGGCGGTGAGGGGCCTATTCAGTCTGGGACCATCCCCGGAACAGCGGCTCACCGCCCTGCTCACCGGCACGCTCTCCCTTTGGCTGCAGGCCTCTCTGCTGCAGCGCCTGGGGCTCCTTCAGCGGCAGCAGGAAGATGCCAAGGAGCTGAAGGAGCACGTGGCGCGGCGCGAACGGGCCCTGCGTGAGGCGCTGGTGCAGGCCTTGCCCCCCGAGGAGCTGAGCGCCTATCACTCCCTGCTGGTCGGCAAGGCGGCCGTCCTGGCCCAGCAGCGCAGCCTGGATGAGCGGGTCCGTCTCCTTCAGGACCAGCTCGACGCAGTCAGGAGCGACCTTGGCCCTCATCCCCTGCCTCCCAGGCTGGCCTGGCCCCCAGAGGCCTGTCTTCCTGATAAACCGCCCTTCCTGCCACCCTTCATCTAATGACAGGCAGTGGGAGTGGGGAGCAGTGCCCCTGCCCCTCACCCACCTAACTGGGGGTGACGCTGGTGCTTTCCCTTTGCGAGGCGGAGGAATGGGGATGGGGCAGGGCCAGTGTGGAAGACCCAGGCCAGGGCTTCCTAGGACACTTCTAAGTGTTTTCATGTGGTTTTACCCATTTCTTGTGGATTATTTGGTGATTAATTTATGAATTTTAAAACTACAGTATTCCCCCTTTTTGTGAGGAGAGAGGCTCTGTCTGGGTTGATCGGAGGGAGGAGGAGACAAATTAGAGGAGCATCTGAACTTACTATGCAAAACAGTTTTTTCTTTTCTATCTTACTAATAATAGATGTGGGAAGTATGTGTGTCACCTGGAGCCTAGCTTGGGGAAGGAATCTTGTTTACAGACAATGGACACCAACCTTGCCTGACTAGAGCAGAAGAGGGATTTGCTGGCGGACATCAGTCAGGTCTGAGAATCCTTAGGAAGACTGGGATACAGGCTTGAAACCAGGAGGGACCAAGAGGATGCCAGGCCTTCCAGCTCCACTGCCACCAGGAATCCCTAGCACTTCTGGTGATCACATCACTATCACAAAAGCCTAGGCCTGATTGGCCGACTCCTGCTCCTTTGCTGGTTTTTACCCAAGCCTCCAAGCTCAATAGCAGAAGTGAGGGTAACTGCTTTCCTTCAAGACTTAAGGGATAGGGAATATCCCCATACACAAAATAGATTCAGTAGCTTCACTGCCTAAAAACCTTGACGAATTCAGGGACATTTATTCCAAGACTCAGAAGGAACTTTGTCTTACAATTATCTTATCAAAAGTGAGTTTATCCAGCTCTCTTTGGAAACCCCACTGGATCCACCAGGCTTGAGGAGGGCTGTTGGGCATGGGAGCTGAAGGTGAGCCGTGAGAGACCTGGAGATCTAGAATGTGGGGGCTGAGGTGTGGAGAGACCGCTCTGTTTGTGGGCCGAACAGGCTAAGCTGGGGGTGAGCTGGGGTTGGGAGTGGAGAGTTAGGTGCTGGTGTGGAATGAAACAGAGGCCACACACTCCCTTCAGTTTGTGCATCAGGCCTGTGTACACAGAGTCAATGTGAAGTTCTCAAATATACATGGGAAAATGTGCTTTAGTATTTGCAGCTGCAAAGGCCAGGGCCAAGAACATTGTTCATGCAAATGTTCAGTGTATTTTTGGAAGTTGGGCACATTAAAAGGCATGTGTATGTGTATTTAAAGCCAACTGACCCCAAAGTGAGAAATCTCTGCTTCTGGGCTTGTTTTCTGATGCGTATTGTCACTCAGTGCAACTGGTTGGGAATTTTAAATGGTTGTATTCATACCAAAAGCATTAGTTCCAACAGTCGAACTATTGAGCACAGAACAATGCTAACATTGTGCCTTTTTATAAAAAACATATGGGACTCCTGCTGAGGCAGTTGCGGGTTCTAACATTATGCTTTTGCTTTTCTCCTTTGAATGCTGTGGGCGGGGCCTCCACTCCAAAGTCCTCAGCCTAGCAGGGCAGTTCTCTTTGAGATAGTCCGGATGGAATAAACTTATTTCTGCCTTTTGCCCTGTACAGCCTCCCCCGCCACACTCGTTCTCCCAGTGTGATATTCTTGGAAAAACAACAGTCATCAGTTAGGCCAATAGAAATTGTGTGCTGTTAGGACAAAGCACTTCCAGCCTTGGATGGGCTTGAGGAGCACTGTCTGCTGTGGTCCTGCTAAACTGCACTTTGGTTCTGTGCTGGGTTTTTCCATGGGGGAATTATGAGGTTCCTGTGCTTGTCCTTATCAGATGGGGAGAGTAGGGCCACACCTCCTGCACCCACCCTTTCATCTTGCCTCTGTGTTCTTCCTGCCCCATTTAATGTCCTTTCCACACCATTATAACGTCAGAGTGCAAGAATGAGCACCACAGGTGTTCAGTATTGATGCCATAGACTAAGATTTTTTTTTTTTTTTTAAGTATTAGAGCACTGAGAGAGCGCATGGGAAGGGGCAGAGGAAGAGGGAGAAGCAGACTCCCCACTGAGCGGGTAGCCCCGTAAGGGGCTCTATTTCAGGACCCTGAGATCATGACCTGACCTGAAGGCGACCTTAACCCACTGAACCACCCAGGCGGCTCCAGACTCAGACTTGGTGGTGCTATGTGGGCAGGTGCCAGAAGCCCGGTGAATTCCACCCTCCAGGACGCTCCCAGCAGAGGGCACTGTTCTCCTTGTGATGAAGGCTCCTACCCTTCACCGTAGCCTCCTCCCCAGCCCAGTAGGCCCTCTGGGCTAACCCCAGGGGCTTTGCTTTCCCTGCAGAGCAGTGCTAGTTAGGCCTGAAGACTCGATGTGAGCCTTTTTGCTTCTGTTGGAAACAAATTCTGTCCAGCCAGCCACGGCGAGGCTGGCTTGCCTTCCTTTGCCACCAGGCCTTCGTTGGAAAGTTGTTGGTTAATGAAAAGTGGGGGAGGAGGGAAGCCGGGGGCGATGATCTGGAGTATCAGTATCAAAAAGAGCCTTACTTAGTCTCCCAGGGTGGAAAAGAGGGTTTCATGGGTCTCTGTTGGGGTTTCTGCCTCCACCTCCTCAAAGCCACAGGTGCCCCCGCCTGTTGATTCCGCCCCCATCCCCGCTGCCCGCCGCGCGGCCCTCCGGGTTTTTGCGGAGGGGAGGCTGTGGCTGGCGCTGTTGCTAGGCAACGGGCGGCCGCGTGGCCGCCTCCCGCGCTCGCCGCGCCCCGCCCCCGCTGCTCCTCCTAATATGGATTTAATTAGGGTACTTTTTACCTTCAGACTGTCAATTGGAAACCGAACAGGGAAGCAGCGTTCGACGGCGCCCGCTCTGTCTGGAACAGCGCGTTCCGCGCACCACGCACCTGCCGGAGCGGCTGCTGTAAACCTCAGGGATCCTCGCGGGAGCGAAACGCGCTGCTGTTCGTTCACGTGTGAATCGGGAGCCTGGGTGGCAATGTGGGTCACGTGTGCTCGAGCGCCGCCGGGAGACGAGGTGAAAGGGGAGCGTGGGGGCAGGAGGAGGGAGAGGTGGGGGCCAGCGACTGCTCTAAAGCAAACGCCCTCAAGGACCCCGCAGTGTTACCGTCACATCCTGGCTACAGGCAGGGCAGGTGCTTATCGGTTGTCGTTGAAACTTAAATCAGCATCACCTACCCCCTAGGAAAATGGTGGGTCCCCCCCCCCCCCCGGAGGAGACATCGGGACCTTCTCCTTTTTATCTCTTCCCTACAGAAACGACTGAGACCACCTGGGCTTCACAGGTTCAAGTCCAGAGGTGTGGCAGTTCTGGAAGGGTAAGGCCAGGACAGAGGTTCAAGGCAAAAAGCTATGTGGAGAGCAATAAAAAGTCTATTTATCAAACTATTATGAAAGGCCAAATAATTTCTTCCAGGAAATGGCCCAAAAAAGGGGGGTCAAATATGGGTCCAGAGAGGGCCCAGCTTTATAACTGTGTTGAGGAGTGCTTTCAGCTCAGCTGGCTGGATGACCTGTTTAGGTTCAGAAGACAGGGGTACGGATGCTAGGGGAATGTTATGAAAGACATGGTGATGTCTATTTTTAACTGAAGTGATATACAGAGCATGAAATAACCTCCCTTTGATGGGACTACATCCCCTCCCCAGTCCATTGTTATTTATGTATACAAATACTAACATGGTTAGTGATTATAAGAATGGTGATCATATAAAGCAAAGCTACAGATGAGAGCTATTTGGTTTTGGTACTGAGGCCACAAACCCCAATGGGACCAATTGGGCACCGTGGTAGTATTTCAAGATGGTGTTGCAGTTCTCAAGGAGCTCTAGGTACTCCCTCCCTATGCTCTACCGTCCTCGAAGCCTGTAGGATAGATGCTGCAGTCTTACCACCCATGGAGGAGGGAGATAGAGTCTGGAGAACTGGATGACTTGCCTAAGGTCACTAGATGAGTAAGGGCTGAGATGAGACCACCTTGCTTTCCTGCAGCAGGACACTGTCAGGGAAAAGAGAATCAGGAGGCCATCCCATCTGTGACAGTTATAGCTGTGAATCCTGGACAAGTTACTCATAGTTTCTTGAGGCTTCCATTCCCTCACTTTAAATTCCAGATACTAACAGGACATACCTTGTAAGGTTGAGGTTAATACCTGCACAGTGGTTAAAACTGTACTTGGCACTTAATAAACACAGGCCATATGTGCATCACCCATATCCTGGTCTCCATTAGGTGTGACATGTTCTAGAATAACCTCCAACCTCCTTTAAAGGAAGTATAAACCTTTATTTAAAAGTTTGTTCTAGATGACTCATACACATCTATATAACAATTAACTTCTCCCCCATTAAAAGGAGTGATTCTCTTCTCCATGACAATTCTAGCCAGCTAAATTGCCTTAAATTAGAAACATTTTTTTCTTTTTTCTTTCTTTTCTTTTCTTTTGTCATTTGTTGAAAATACCCCTCACAGGTGTACCTCCTGCTAGGCAATATGTAGTTCTTGAAAACTTTCCATATACATATCAAAGTATAACTTCTGACTGACTTATAGTTCTGGAACATCTTGACCTGCAAGGAAAAAACGATGGTTTCTAATACCTAAGTTTTAGGCTTATTGATCCTAAACTCTTGCCAAATGTTTTACTTCACTTGGAAGGCTTGCAGCATGCCCTTCTGAAACACAAAGATTCTTCTGGCAGTTTAAATAACCGTCCTCTGATTTAAGTGTGCAGTAAACATTAGTTATTGTTATTACTACTCTGCAGGTTTAGATTCTGTTTTTCTCAAGGCAGGTCATACCTCTGTTTGTGACCTTTGTTATCCTGTCTCAGTCAAGCCTCTCTCTTACCATGGAAAATCTCTAATATTTTATTCTGTCTTCTAGACCTTCAGCAACTGAAACTGCTATAATTATTGCCTCCTACAATTTTTCTGCAGAGGCAGATTTAATTTGCATTTTTAAATAATTTATGCAGCTTAGCAAGAGTTCCAGGCAAGGAAGGTGGGAAGGAAAGGGTCAGATCAGGGCCTACATTCATCTGTTGTTCTTTTTTTTTTTTTTTTTTTTTGATACTATATCTGTGTGTGGATGCTGCCTTTATTTAGCAGATCATTCCAAACTCTTTCAATAACAGAATGCCTGGAAGAGGCAGAAGAGGATGAGAAAAAACTGAAGAAATTAAGTAGATAAAAAGAAAAGAAAAATACAGTAGTAAGGGCTGTAGAATGTTTAAGGGAAAGACATTACCACACAAGTAAGAACAAAATGGGAGACTTGTTTATTTCAGTGCTTGAATCAAAACATTCCATTAAGGACTGCCTTAAATAATGTCACACAGGATATATATGGAAGGGAGAAGACACACTCCCCTGTGCCACAAAAACTATTTGATATAACTAATGACATGCAAACACAATTTGCAAAAGCAGAGCATGACCACAATATGATATTTAAAAAAGGCTGGTTGAGCAAACAGAGTCCCCATCTTTAAAACAGAAAAAGAGACCTTATAGTTAGAGTGGGTTGAACCTGGTACCTCTTGGTAATAGCAAACCTTCTCAATTACAGATAGAATCAAAGGTCCAGAGAAGTTAAGCCATCCCTGAAAGGTCACTGAGCAAAGAATTCTGTATTTGCTATTTTGGAATAAGTGGTTTGCTTTCAGATGGCTTTTAAAAGTGGATATAATATATTTTTTGTTTCTATAGAATTTTCATATAAAATAGTTGCTCTTTAAGTGCATCTACTTTTATTTAACCAATTATTTTTCTGGTATAATGCTATGATATGTTGTTGTTCTTTAAATATTCACCTACTGCATTGAAAGGCGCATCCAGATTGGAAAACCAGATTCAGAAACATGGCACAATGGTGCATTCACAAGTAAATCATACTTAAAAAATTAAATATTCATGCCAAATCAAAATAATCACCCACTAGTGCCGAAGACAGTTTATATTTCATCATAAAGACAACCAGAAATTACAAGTATTTGCCAAAATGTCTCCTTTCTCTCACTGTTAAATCATTCTTACTCCCCAGATGCACTTGTTTCCTAATATTTAGCATTCACAGTACAACTGAAATGAATCACATTCACAATGATCACATTCTGTGTTCAAGTCTCTCTAGAATCGCCTAAAATGAGGTAGATAAACGTTTAAGGGTTTTGTTGGTTGGGACTACTTTCCTTTAGATCATGATCCCGTTTGTTTCTTTTTAATAGAATTCCAAAATACTTAGCAAAAGATCGAAAATGAGCATTTTGCCTAAAAATGGAAAAATATAATTTCAAAAGGTCATTATGAAAGTCGTTTTACCTCATTTTAATTTAAAAACAGGATAAAGGCAGCAGCAAATTACAAAACCACTAGGTATCTTAAAGCTGACAGTCCAACAGAACACATTTAAAGAGACCCTTGCTCTAGTTCTGGCTTGGGAGTGTGTGGTTGCAGAGGCATCGAGTGGACTCATTCGGGGGCCCTTAGCTCTGACCCAGTATTCAAGACTGATTTCTGGAGTTCCTTATCGAAGGCTCTCCCTGACGTCTTGACTCCCATCTTGACTCGGAGGCAGGTCAAGCTTCTGGCCGAAGCTAGAGGCGGAGGCCCGCCCGCCTGGGTGGAGCAGGGCGCCCCGCGCGAAGCCGGAGACGGTGCTGAGCGGCTGTTTTGGGCAGGCTTAGGCTGTGAGGGGCCGGCCGCGTTGCATCAGCCGAGCCGGGCCTCAGGGACCGTCAGGTTGCGGGGGGGAGACTGGGCACGAGCCCAGCCAGGGGCCCGGGAGTAGGTCGACGAGAGATTTCTGGGAAAGCCGGCAGGCCGCTGCGGGTCTTCGTCTTTTTCCGTGGAGCTGTGGGCGAGGCACCCAGGAACTTGCCAAGGGAGCCCGACTTCCTCATGCCTCGAGCCAGGTCTTGGAGCATCAGGTCGTCGGCCAGGACACCCAGGAACGCACTGGTGGTGGAACTGAGGATGGTGGCGGCCACTTGCACCGGGCGCCGGGCCGCATGGGGGCCACTACCGGCCCCGGCCCCGGCCCCGGCCCCGGCCCGGGCCCCGGCGGCGTCGGCGTCGGCGTCGGCGTCGGCGTCGGCAGAGCCTGGAAGGCAGGGGTCGCCGAGCAGGCGGCGCAGCGCGTACGAGGCGCCGGGCGGCAGGTACTGGTAGGCGCGCCGCCCGCTGTGGTCGCGCACGTGCACCTGCGCGCCCAGGCGCACCACCAGCAGCACGGCGGCGTCCTCGCGGCCGTGCAGGGCGGCCAGGTGCAGCGGCGTGTAGCCGCCGTGCGAGCGCGCGTTCACGTCCACCGGCGCGCCCCCACGGCGCGCGACCTCCACCAGCTGCAGCGCCATCTCGCGGTCGCCGCTCTTGGCGGCCCAATGCAGGGCCGTGAAGCCCGACATGAAGTCGCGCTTGGCCGCCAGGCCGCTGTCGCGCAGCAGCAGCCCGTGCAGCTGGTGGGTCCAGCAGCCCCCCGCCGCCCGCACCAGCCACTCGTGCTCCGTGGGCTCCAGGGGCACGGCGGGCGGCGGCGGCGGCGGCGGCGGCGCGGCGGGCACTTCCTCCGTGTCCGGGCTTAGCAGGCGCGGGCCTGCGCGCGACAGGCGCCTCAGGTGCGGGGAGCGGCCGGGGCCGGGGCCGGGGCCCAGGCCGGCCTCCTCCACCGACAGCCGCCGCAGCAGCAGCGGGGAGCTGCGCGGGCTCGGCTCTTCCGACAGCTGCCGCCGCAGGCCCTGCTCCTCGGCGCGGATCCGGAGCGCGGCGGGGCCCGGGACGCAGCGCACGGGCAGCAGGCAGGGCTTGGGGGGCGGCGGCGCGTGCCGAGGGAGCGGGGGCGCCTCGGCCGTCGGGCCGCGCCCAGGTTCCGGGCCCGGCGCCGCGGCGTGGGGCAGGGGCTCCCCCGACAGCGGGCTGGGCGGCGCGGCCGCGTCTGCAGAGGGCCCCTCGGGGGCCGGGGCTAGCTCAATGGCGGGAACCTGGGGCGCGGGGGCACCCCCCGATGGCTGGGCGGGCCCAGAGGCGTCCTGCGGCTCGAAGGGCAGGGCCGTGTCCTCGCGCGGTGCCACCGGCTGCTGCGGCGGCGGCGGCGCGGCCGGGGATGGAGCCCGCGCGCCAGGCGCTTCCCGGGGTGAGACGGAGGTGCTCTCGGAGGGCAGGGCTGCTGCCCCGGGCGCGCCGGGGTCGCCCGAGGGCGGGGGCTGCGCCGCCTCCCGGGGCCGCAGTTTCTTCTTCAGCACCACGAACTTGACGCCGTCGAACTCCTTCACCACCGCCACGTCGTTGACGAATTGCTTGAAGCGGTCCCTGCGGGCGGCGCGGCCGCGCGGGTCGCCCGCATCCAGCAGGGGCTTGAAGCGGCTCAGCAGGTCGCAGCTGCGCACCTGGCCGCCGTGCTCCAGCAGGAAGCCCAGCACGGCCGCCTGGCTCACGCCGGCGGCGGCGGCGGCGGCGGCGGCGGCCAGCGCCATGGTCAGCGCAGCTCCCGGCTGCCGGCAGGGGCACGCGGCCGCGGCCGCTGGGACGGGCGGGAGCGCGGGGAGCGGGGGCTCCGGGAGCCACGTCCTCCCCGGCCAGGCTCACCTGATCGTTTCCAGCGAGGCGCGGCGGGCGTGTCCCTGAAGCTGGACCTTGGTCACGCCCGCGCCGTGCCGCCCGGGGGCCTCCTGGAGGAAGGTGCGGGGGGCCGCATCGTGCACCCACCGCCTCCGGGGTAGGTTTCTGCCTTCGTATTGCGTCCAATGGGCGCCGGGCTCCATCCCCCGAGCTCGGTGCTCCCTTACAGGTGACAGCTGCCACCAGGACCGCGGCGGCGGGGGGGGGGGGGGAGCGGAAATTATCCACCGCCCCCTCCCCCACCCGGGAATTAAAGGCGCAGTGCCACGCTTCAGCGGGCGCCCGGTTGCTAGGTGGGTGTGCTCCCCAGGGATGCTGTGGTCGACCGGGGGAGGCGACGCTTTTTCTTTCTTTAAGGAATAGTTCACCGCCACAAAAATACCGGGAGGTTATTTAACAGCAATTATTTGTTCATCAATCCCTCTCCGATTGTCGACTGCGTTGACCGCGTTTCCCACAGGGAAAGGGCATCTTGCAATTTGCAGCTAAGACAGTGGCCATGCATGTTACCCAAGGTTTAGAAGGGATGTTTTAAAAAAGCAGTTGTTTCATGATGAGATAGTACATTTTCACGTGGAAGTTTGAAAATAAAACCACAGAAAAATACAAAGGAGAAATATCACTTGAAATCACCATTAACATTTTGAAACATTTTTCTTCTTCCTTCCATACACACGTGCATACATGCTTTTTGTTTTAGAATAAAAAGCGAAATGGCGGGATCCCTGGGTGGCGCAGCGGTTTGGCGCCTGCCTTTGGCCCAGGGCGCGATCCTGGAGACCCGGGATCGAATCCCACGTCGGGCTCCCGGTGCATGGAGCCTGCTTCTCCCTCTACCTCTCTCTCTTTCTCTCTCTGTGACTATCATAGATAAATAAAAATTTAAAAAATTAAAAAAAATACATTTAGAATAAAAAGCGAAATGGTAATCATGCTATATTTAAATTTTTCCATTTAAGACACAAATATTTGTTGAGCACCTAATTTGGGCCAGTACCTTTTCCGGCTGTAATACATCAGTTAGCAAGAGAGATAAAAACCCCTAATCTAGTGGAGCTCACGTGGCAGGGAAGGGGGGATGGAAATAATATGGTGAATCTGAAAATTCTGTAATATGCTAGATAAATACAATGGAAAGATAAAACAGTAAGACAGGGGGGTCAGATTGCAATTTTGCACCTTGTGTTCAGGGCACGACTCATTTGAAGGTCCCAATTATATAAGGACTAAGGACTTGAAGAGATCAGGTAGTTATGCAGCTAGGTAGGAGAAGAAGCTTTTTGGCTGAGTAAACCACCAGGGCCAAAAAAATGGGATCAGTTTCTTAACTTACAAACACCATACTACAAGTATATAATCAGAGGTACGATTTCTTAGTAGTTTAAGAGAATAAGCCTGGGATCATAATTGCACACTCGAATCATAGCTTTACCTTGGCTTACTTGATTGACCTCTCTGTGCCTCAGTTTTCTTATCTATAAAGTGGGGATGATAATAATGCCTACCTCATCAGATTGTTGTGAGAATTAAGAAAATAAACACAAGAGACTTAAAGCAATGCTTGGCCCAAAGTAAGCATTCAAATTGTATAGCAATGATTATACCACTATTAATGACCAAAACAAAAAAGAAAACAGTAAAATGTGAAAGGCCATCCTTTTCCCAATCCCATTTCCCAGGGCAATTTCTGTCTTCAGTCCTTAAATGCATACGATTTAATCTTTTTTTCTCCCACTTTTTATTATATTGTGAGCATTTTCCTCAATGACAGTATCTATTCTTTAAATATATATGATTTTTACTATAGCATCAGATAAATACAGTATTACGCTTATTTTCTTTCTTATAGTTAGTAGTCTAAATTGTTTCCAGTTTTTAATTCTTGTGAATAGTGGTGCTCATATATAAAACTTTGTGCACATTTCTGATTAATTCCTTAGGATAGAATCCTACCAGTAGAATTACTAGGTCAGAGGGAATTCTTTTCAAAACTCTTGAAACTTAACTGCTAGATTGTTTTCCAGAAAAGTTACAGTCCTGTAAAAGTACCTTGTCTTTCCCTCAGTGGTATTGAGTAGCATCTTTTAATTTGTCAATTTGGAAGGTGAAAAGTTGTAGGTCACTCTACTTTTTATTACTAATGATGTTAAACTTCCCCCCACTTATTTATTGTCTATTTGGATTTTTTCTTTTGTGATTTACCTCCCCCCCCTTTATCCATTAATATCTTCCTGTTGATATGTAGTTATTAACCTTTTATTGTATACATTGTCCAGATTTTCCCAGTTTGTCATTTGCCTTTTAATTTTATTGGTGGCTAGTTTTTTTATTGTAAATACTGTATCCTTGTAGCTTAAGAATGCTAGTTCAAAATATGAAGATACATCTCCCATTTAAAGGAGAACGTTTAGGATCAACTTACTCTGTAATATTAAGCAGTCTACATCAGAATGATAACAATGCCCTTGAAGAAGTCCCTGTGTTTTTAATCATGCAATGATAACTGTAATCAGCTATCATTTATGTCTGAATATTACCTTTTCTTCAAATCCAACTCAAATCCCACCCTTGCAAAGTCTTCTGCAGCTGCCCCAGGGGCATCCTCCTCCTCCCCCCCCCTTTTTTTTTAAGATTTTATTTATTAATGAGAGAGAGCGTGGCAGAGACACAGGCAGAGGGAGAAGCAGGCTCCATGCGGGGGCCCAAAGCGGGACTCGATCCTGGGTCTCCAGGATCACGCCCTGGGCTGAAGGCCGTGTTAAACCGCTGAGCCACCCAGGCTGCCCATCCTCCTCACTTCTATGATCTATTTCAGTAAACATCTATTGACTATCTTTGGGTGCAAAGCAGTGAGCCAGGTGCTCAGGGGAGAAGGCGCAACCTGCCTGTGGAGAGCTTACTGCTTAGTGGAAGAGAGAAAAACAGTTACAAACATGTTACATTCAGATGAAATCAATGCTCTGCAGGCTTACCAGTGCACAGCTTCTAAAAGACACATGAGGAAGCCTTCAGGAGGTAGGCCGAATTTGCGTATGCACAAGATAGGCAAGGGTTTGCAAGTTGGACAGTGAAGACTGAATTCAGGGTAAACAGTCTAGTGTGTTTTCTGTTTAAGTTATGTGTTAGAGGTACAGAAGATAATGTCAGGGAAGTAATCTGGGGTCATGGATAGAGGACCTTAAATTATACTTTGCCCTTTATCCTGTTTGCAGTAGATTGCTGTGGAATGCTTGCTTTCTTTTTTTAAAAAGTAGCTTCAATTCTTTTTTCTTTTCTTTGTTCTCCAAAAATGATGGGTTCATTTTTTTAAGATTTTAATTCCATTAGTTAACATACAGTGTTGTATTAGTTTCAGATGTACAATATAGTGATTCAACAGTTCTATACATCACTTGATACTCATCACAAGTGCCCTACTTAATCCCCATCGCCTATTTCACCTATTCCCCCACCCACCTCCCCTCTGGTAACCATCAGTTCTCCATATGTTTTAAAATTCTTTTTTTTTTTTAGATTTTATTTATTAGAGTACAAGGGCATGTGCAGGCACATGCATGTATTCGAGACAGAGAGAGAGAGAGAGAGAGCAAGAGCAGAGGGAGAGGGAGAAGCAGATTCCCTCCTGAGCAGAGAGCCCTAAGTAGAGCTAGATCCCAGAATTCTGGGATCATGACCTGAGCTAAAGGCAGACGCTTAACTGACCGAGCCATCCAGGTGCCCCTAATTATTTTTTGACTATAGAATTCATGATTATGTTTTCCCAAATTCCAATAATTTCCAAAATATAAACAAAATAGATTACATGTTTGAGAAGCATTCCTAATATTTGTTGGCTTATTCTATGAAGCTTTTTATCTACCTCCCTAGGTATAAACACAGTCATGTATATGTTCAGTGCAGGTGGCATTAGAGCACCCATTATTTCATAACCCATGCTGCTTTGCGGCCTGCCTGCTATAACTCATGCATGTGTGGTGAAGGGATGGAGGAGTGGCACTGCTGGAGGGATGGCACGTCCTTGGGAGAGACAGAGACAGTGAGCTAGGGCAGCAGGGCAGAAAGATAGGAATAGATGCCAAAGCTATTTCAGAAGCAGAATTTGCATTATACTGCCTGTTTTCATTTTTAGTCACGTTCCCTTCGTGGTGATTTTCATTTCCATAGCTACTTTTCATATGACAAATTGCTGGTGCCTCAGAAAAATTATTCCATGATCTCATAGGAAGTGGAGCCTCAATCGAGCTGGAATTTTGTTACTGCCTCCTCTCTCTAAGAGGAGGCGGGAGAAGAACCCTCTGTTAAAGATCATTACTGACTTATGCGGTTTGAACTCGTTCTGACTGTGATCACCAAGAATAGACAACGGATTAAATACTGATTGAAAAGGAGTTGCTGGTACAAGCAAAGTTTATTGACAGTGCTTGACAGGCTTCAGGCTCTGAGCTATACAAAGCAATGTAACCAAGGTCACAGCTTATTATTGGCTGAGCCCAATACTAATTTGTACTCATTTACCATTTAAAATTAGCTCACCAATTACTTAAAAGTGATGTTCTGAATGTTTAATAAGGAGAAAACTCATATAAAAGTCTAGCTTAAACCTTTACACTTGTGCATCTGAACATACTCCACTTTAATATTTTAAGTGATGCATTTATAATTTGGCAAACATCAGGGCAAGGGTGCCAATGACATCCAGTTCCCCAGGCTACTTTTAAAGTTGGGTGCCCTCCTGACAGTGAGGCCATCAAATCAATTCTTCCAGTGACTCAGTAGTTTGCTCATAAATATTAGGAAAATCAAATATAAAATATACATTTATAGCAAGGGTTAAATTTTATGTGTCTTGAATTTGGAGGAAGCAACAGACATTTGTTTTCTATCTCATTTCTCTCAAATCTCATATCTATCTCATTTTTCCTATCTTTCAAGTGTTTGCT